TAATGCTTTAGGCTGTTCATAAGCAGTTTGGCTTTGCGCAGCAGGGTTTTAGGCACACTCTCGAGAATTTGCGGTGTTAGGTCCCTCTCGGCCAAAGTAGCATGGTCTCCGTCCGTCGTGCCAGCCGATAATGTTTGGTCCTCCGACCCTCTGCCGGATCCCTCCGCCGGTGTAGACATCGTGACAGACATGGGTGCGGATTTGCGGGCGTGATCGTATTGAAGATACTGTTGCAGCGTTTGCTGGTACAGCGACAGTTTAGCGTCGTCGGGAAGGTCTGTTCGGGCCAAAAAGTTTTTCATGTCCTGCTCCAGGCTCTGCAGTTTACTCTGCGTGGGGTTGCGCGAGAGTAGCACATTCTGTATGGCTCTGGTCACGCTGTCCGTGGGAGCGCTAATCATGGTTTTTCGGGCGTATTTCATCACTTGGAGAACAGTATCACTCCGAGCGTACTCAGGATTGGAGCCAGCAGGGATCCCAGAAATCCTCCTTTCTGAATCAACAGCTGTTTGCGTTTGGCGTGAGAGGACTTCTTGTCAGCCAAAGCTCGCAGATGAGTCTTGTGTCGCGAGAGTTTTTTCTTCTGACTGGGGGTGAGGTGAACGCGGCCTTTTAAAACATTCAGCGCACATTCACCCAAACAGGTGACCAGTTCCTTGTCGGCACACTTCAAAATGTCCTTTCGTTTCTTGGGCGAAGCTGCACTCAAAATGCGCAGCGCGTAAGCGTTGTCCTTCAACCGTCACGTCATGATGACGAGTGAGGCCGTTGACGTAAAACTGGTCTATTTAGGCACGTAGGCGTAGCTCGTTTCCTCGGGAAAAATGCAGGATCGAAGGCGGTGTTCTTCCGGGCAGTGGGGTTTCAGGTCGATGAAAAGATAAGAGTGTGGAAGACTGGTGGCATCGGCGTAGGCATCGGCAATAGGCGGTCCTTGTGAGTCATCGAGGTCACAGGTCATGCTTTGCGAAACCGAATGGCAGTCACCATCGTATTCATCTGCCATGTGCCAACCGGCGCTGTAGGTGTGATAAACATCACGAGGACATAAACAGTCCACTTCATATTCCCAAAATCGCCTGTACTCCCGCTGTTCTTTTGCTGCAGCCTTCAGTTTACCGACTTCATCAGTCAACTGCAAAACATTCGATGTCAAGAAACTCAAGGTTTCGTTCAACTTATCGACTGCTTGTTCAGTCCTTGATATCTTCGGCGGGAATTTCGATGCGCACCGAGCTTTCCGCGCGGCAGGAACAATGCTAGTGCCAGTGTGTTTCTTGCCATGTGAACTCGCATTTTGTTTGGAGTTTTTATTCTCTTTTTCTTTCTTTTTGGGGTCGCCATCGGCACCCCTGGGTTCCTTGTCATGTTCATCACCCTTGGCCATCTGGCTCGGGTAAAAAGGACCGTAAATCCCGTAATTAATCACCAATTCAAAACCTGGACGAACTCAAAAGTTCGACTGTCTGCTCAAAATAGCGCTCGCAATCTGGTCTACGCATGCGCGGTCGTTTCTCATGAAATTCCGTTATCACAACTCTAGAAGGCAGTGTAGAATTGATACTTTGTCTGTGGTTCGCCCCCTTAGTGGCAGAAGAAAGCGCCGGGCGACTTGGGGCGAATCCGTGAGAAGTTTGTCAGTGCGCAGACCAGGCAAACACTTTCATCAATTAACTGAGTGCACTAAGCGAATAACTTGAGGAGGACCTGTTTGATTAGCTTTTGTGCGCAGAAAGGAAATAAACACTGACGCTTTGTCATTGTCTGCATCCTGAATGTGTACTAGACGCATGGAGGACTGATTGTTGGATATGACACTTGGCAACTTCAGCGAACTCGCTAATGCGCATAAGCTCAAACAATGTGCATAAAATATCAGCCCGAAAAAGCGCAGTCTCACAGCTAGTGTGACACACCTGCAGGGGTGCGTCAATGATACGGGTCAGTACTGGTAAGATCATTTGCCACCGTTCATCGCCGCCCAGTTTGTCCCGGCGACAACCTGTCAATAATTTCGCCACCAGAAAATCCCGTGTGTGATCCGGCCAACCTTGAACCTTATGAAAATAGCCCACTGATACATGCTGAAGTAGCTATGGTTGACGCAGCAAGACGCTGGAGCGAAAGCCATACTATAAACTGCCTAATATCGTTACTGGAAGCATGTCGAGTTTCATCAAGTCATTGGCCCATAGATGAACAAAACGCACGCCACCCCGTCTGGAATTTTTTGTGCGTGTTTTCCGTTGAAGCAGCCACCAATAACCGGTGTATCTCACCTTCTATTAAACCCGGAGGAGGTCGGGGACCGGCGTCATTACTATATCTGTCTGTGGGGCCAATGCACGGAAGCGATGCACCTGGAAACGTGAGAGGGAATCGGCAATTTATTGCGTACTCATGGGATATGCGTGACCTTAAATGTGATATTGAACCGCAGACACTGACAAACAAGTGCTTACACTCAATGCATGATCTCGTCGCAAGTAGATAACTGTTTCAAGTCATTGATGATGTGCACTACTGCTTCGTTGTCTGTGCGGAAAAGCACTTCGGGAGGCGCTGAGCTAACTGGGGGCCCCAACAATGCACGGCTATCACTAGCGGATAAAACTCGCAGTATGCTATCGACGGGGATAGTGCCATAAACTCACGGGACCAACGCGCGTGAAACCATCGACCGCTGAAGTACCCTCCTAACCTAATGCTTGCAGCAGCTTCTGTAAATAACTCTAAAACGTCATTGTCGCGCCAGTTCTGATCTCGAAACCCCGTTGAAGTGCTCAAGGAAGTTTAACCACATATGTGAATCATGTTTTGCTCCGTGAGATAGACGAACTTTGTGATGGGGTTTCCGCAGCCTGCGGGACATACCGATCAGCCGACGAGTAATTGGACTTCCCAATAAACAAGAAATCGTCCAAATAATGGGTAACAGTTTGAGTGTTCGAAATTTGCTTAAAGGGAAATTCCAGAAAGGTGCTAAATGCCTCAAAATGCCTGCAAGACACAGAACATCCCAAGGGTAACCACTTATCATAATAAAACTGATTTTGAACCTTGAAGGCAAGCATTTCATAATCAGAAGGGGCGACGGGAAGCAACCGAAAAGCCGACTTAATGTCCGTTTTTGCTAGCCATGTTGCTGAATCGGCGGACATCGCTAAATCGACAGCCGTATCGAATGATGCATAATGAACTACACACTCGTCCTTATCAATGAAGTCATTCACAGACTCACCTAGTGGATAGGAGAGATGGTGAATAAGGCGAAACGAGCCCTGTCGGTGCTTTGGCACGAGACCAATAGGTGAACACTGAAGATTTGGAAATGGCCGGTCCGAGAAGGGACCTGCAATCCTGCCTAATGCAATTTCATCGCGTAATTTCTGGAGGACGATTTCCGGCCTATCCGTGGCGGACTTAAAGACAATCATAATCTTTACGTACCCTCGGACCATGATAGCTCAGCGAAAAACTTTTTTTGTATAACCGTTATACAGCAAATTAGCCGCCAAGTTTGCATAACCCGATAACCATTGCTTGAGGACTACGATATTAATGGGTGTTGGGAGAACGAAAAGTAGTGTTTCTGTCCCCTCTAGTAATAACCGCTGACTGGCGTTTGTTATCGCTCACGCAGTGCGTGTCCGGCCTTGTTACTGTACTGGCCGAGACGCCTGCCGTGCGTCTGACGCCGCCAACGGTGTCTTTGTGAAGCGCGTATACACGTATATCCGGTTCGTAAGTGTGACGTCACTTCAGTTTAAACCACGCTCGCTGCACACGTGCACCGCTCATAGGGTTACAGTGAATGCTGAGAACATCGCATAATTCGGAAACTTGTGATCATAATTTCTGCGGTACTTTTGAAAAAAGTGTCGAGCCACTTACACATACACATGTACTTCTCATGTCCTATTGTATGCAGTTTTTCAGATCATCTTGGTATTTTGATGAAGTCCCTCTGTAGAACAATCTTGGTACGAATTGCATTTCCACTGACAACACCTGGGACACCACAGATTTCCTCCATGTATCAACATGGTCAACATTCTTCTGTGTCATCTAAAAATGGAAAATATATTCATTATGCATCAGTTCATGTGTTGATGCCTGGAAAAAACAGTGTCGGAAGTTTCAGCACTTTTGATATCACTTAGCTACATAGAAATAGGAATGTAGGATGTTGATCATTAAGCAATTTGCATTATTACATGCATGGCCCCCCTGTCCTCTTTGCTCATGACTGCCTTAATCAGAGTACAATACCAACCTTCTCCGGCCTTCTCAGTACTAAATACCTTGTCATTTTCTTTGCAATTGGTTGCCCAACATCTTCCTTCATATTGGGTAAGGGTGCATGTACATGTAACCGCAGTTACATTACATTCCCATCCTTGAAACTAACATCATGTAGAACAGATTTTACTTGAGCAGCAGCATGAACAATACCTTTACACACAAAGCAAATAATGGGGATCAATTAAAAACATCGGGATCTTATGAGTGCTGAAAAGTTTGCACTATTTTTCCGAATCTAGTTTGAAATTTTTTTGCAGTTGTCTTTCAATAAGTTGTAGGGGATACATGTACACATACAAGTAAACCGACTTCCTGCCGATTGCAGCTTTTTACACAGTCTTGTTACAACTACTTTGATGAAGCTCTTCTCACTGTTCTGTGGCTTCGTCCTTTTGCTTCGACTGCAGGCATCTTTGAGACCAGGGACATCTAACATGAATGAAGACTCCTCTCGTGTGCCGATGAACATCTGCATCATTGCAAAAGGAAAACGTTTATTACAGGTGCACCAGTTCATGTGTTGGTGCATGAAAAAATGATACCAGAACTTGGACACAAAAATATAGCGTACATTGTGTACATGTATTCAATGGCATATATGCAGCAACCTTGGGTTCTCACTAAATGGGAAGTACGTGGGGACTTGAATGTTGATGAGGGAACCATGGACCCCCCCCCCCCCACAAACACACACCTGCACCCCCACACACAAACTGTGCTTCATGACTTCATTAACCCTAACAGTCCCAGAACAGGCAATCTGTCTGTATGTCAGTGCAACAATAGGCCTTTTTGCCATTACCTTGCTTGGTTATAAATACAACAGCTTGCATTATTGTGGGTACCCACGTCTCTGATATGGGAAGAATTCCAACGCTCTGAACTAGCAACTTTGATGAAGATACGAACTTGCATAGGGACTAAAGTGGCGTGCAGAAAAACCCTGTACAAAACGAAGGGGGGGGTTGGGCAGAACATGGAGAACTAGAGGTCTCTGTCTGTGTAACAGAACAGAGGGCTTTTTCGGTAAATTCAACTTATTTACTAAAAACAAGACAGTTTCAGGCTGTTAGGCCATACTTACATAATTATTTGGCATAATATTTTATGGGGTCTTTGCTTGGTATAACTTTGATGACGTTGGAAGTTCGCTCTCAGACCAAATATTGTGCCTTCGAAACTTTTAAAAAGTCTACTGGACGGTACAAAGAATTTAAAAATCAATAATGAATCACACGATGATGTCATCTGACGTTAGTATTACTTTACAGTCTTTTGATATGGGCTGCTATTTGATGACACTTTGGTGACAATTTTTTTGCAAAATTGCCAAAATAGTGTTTTGAAAATGAATACAAAGTCAAAGGGACGAAATTTATGCTTAAAAATGAATAATAAAATACTTGATGACGTCATCAAGACAGTGTTTTGAAAACGAATACAAAGTCAAAGGGACGAAATTAATGTTTAAAAATGAATAATAAAATACTTGATGACGTCATCATTACGTCATTCATTTGTAATAATCCTATATCAGTGTCTTTGTTGGCTTCCACTTTGGTAACGGTCAACCATCACAAAGGTACCAAAATTGTGGCTTGAAAACGTGTACAACGGGCTGAAATAAACATTAAAAAATCATCGTCATTCTCTAAAGGCCATCTATGCATAAGGGTCCTTCAGTGTGGTAAGTTTGATGAAGATCCGAAGTTTTTAAGTGACTAAAGTTGTAGGCAGTTGTGCACAAAACAAATGGGCTTTTGAGCAGAAGAAAAAGAATAGGGGGAAAAAAACAGAACAAGATGTTCTATGTCTGTTTGCAACAGAACATAGGGCTTTTCGCTTTTCATTGAAAACCCCAGCGTCGTGATTGCATATCTGCAAAGTTTCATCCAGCTGGGACATATACTTTTGGAGATATAAGGCTCTAAATGTCACATGAATTGTGTACTAATGACGTCATCATCCCATGAGGTCCACCTTCGTCTTTCATACATCCCGTTCAAGATATCTGCTAACTTTCAACACGCTGGGCCAAGTCCTATTGGAGATAAAGGGCCTTACAAGTGCAACTTTTATGTTACGTGACTTGTCTCCTGGTGACGTCATCATCAGGCAAGGTTAAAATACCTTTAAAGCAGTCCCTTTTCAAGAAATCTGCAAAATTTGAAGCCGATCGGACATGTACTTCGGAAGATATAGGACATTGAAGTGTGCACCTTTAATGTCAAGTGACTTGTCTCCGAATAACGTCATTATTACATGAGATTCAAAACTCCTCTAAGGCACACCCTTTTCAAGATATCTGCAAGATTTAAACCCGATCAGACATGTATTTCAGTAGATATAGGGCATTAACGACTGCACCTTTAATGGCACGTGACTTGTCTCCTGATGACGTCATCATCAAAAACATCGAAATTCCTCTAAAGCACTTCCTTTTTAAGATATGGATAAACACTTTTGGAGATATCGTACTTTAAATGGTGCACCTTTAATGTCACCTGACTCGTCTGCTGATGGTATTGCCATCACGTGAAGTCAATTTCCGTTTTTAAACCTTCCCTTCCTAACCACCTGCAAGGTTTCAACCCAATGAGACATGTACAACACAATACAGAACACAAAACATTATACTTACCGCAGAAAAGGCACAGATTAGATTTTTAAACATTTGTCCCTTTGACGTCCATACAATGCGATCTGCTCTCGGCAGCACGTGGTCGGCATTTTGCCAAGTCCCGAGTATATGCCCTACGCACTCTGCGCCGTCGGTGTTACAGGCAGATATTGGGCGTCCACACACACACAGTAACATATGCACAGCACTGTGCGAAATTGGATTTCCAAGTTGGCTATTTATATTTGAAGGGGTTTTTGTCGGCGGCGCTTCATGTGTGTGAAAAGTACACCAGTTATGCATTACATGCAGCTGACTCCAATCTTTTAGATGTCATCTGATGCATAATTCACGCTTATATCTCTTACGGTTGATTTTTTACCGAATTTTGAAGAATAAAAGAAGTTTTTATTGTAACTTCCGGTCTGATGACGTCATCAGCCCCAAACTTCACACACGTGTTGACAGGGTAAAGATGATCATCTTGATCTACATCAATTTTCAGGCGATTTGAACAAACTTCGCCACAGAAATCTATCCAAAACTCATTTTTCATTCATTTTTAACCTGTCGCTAGAGGGCGCTCGATAATTAGGTGATATCATCAGTGGATGATTTGAAGAATACAATACCCAAACAGACTAACACCGTTGAAAACAACTTGATATCTATAACCATTTTTAAACAATAGAACACTTCCGGCTTCGACCAGAAGGAAGGTTGACGTGATTTGACCCACACGAGATGAATCCAAGACCACATTTTATTCTACCACTTGCTGCAAACAGAATGTTGCGGGAGTCCATGGTAAATTTTATATGGATTTTTATAACTTTAACAGAATATTTAAATATTCAATATGAAATGATAAATCACTTGATGACGTCATCACGACGTAAATATTTCAGTATTATCCTCGTTTTATAGTCAGTGCTTACTGTACCTTTGATGACGATCAGCGCTTACTAAAGTACCGAAATTGTGCCTCGGAAACGTGGACAAAGTGAATGGGCTGAAATAAATATTTAAAAATCAATAATAAATCACTTGATGGCGTTATCATGACGTCATGCTTTAATAACTATACCTATGACAACTTTGAATGCTGTGCGACAAAGATTATTGGCAAAAGTCCTCCACAGAAAAAAAAGGTGTTCAAAGTCTTTGGGCTTTGGGCCCAAAAAGAAGAACCCCCTCTAAAAAAAATCCCAACGATTCCAAAGGCTTTTTCTCAAAATTCCGAAAAAGCCCCCTCCCCAAAAAAATTATTAACAAAAACAATAAGCTGTTTTTGCCGGTGCCCGAAACAATTAAAAAACAAAAAACAAAACTTAACAAAAACAAATGAACAGCTAATCAAAAAAAAGAAAGAAAGAAGAAAAGAAAAATAATTAACAAAAAAAAACAAAACAGCTAATAAAATATAAGCTTGCAGGCGACGCCTGGCGTCCCTCAGGGTGAAGAAGCTGTGAAGTCTTCTTTGGTGTTGGAGGACGTGTGTCCTCCGGTAAGAGGACTCCAAATAAATGACACCAGGACAGCAATACCTTGGGTCCGTCTTCTTGATTTTTTCTTGTGTAAAATTCCCAATCGAAACATTCTGATTCATCAGGATGTCGCTTAAAAGTCTCTTAAGTACCTGAAGTCATGTGTTGATCCGTTAAGATCACTGAGATCTCTTAAGTCCCTGTAAAGTCTCGTAAAATAGTTACATGATATCAAATAATTAGATGAATACATAAAATTTACGATCTTTATAATCATGTTTAAGTTGCTAATAATGCATGTACTAGCATGTTCATATATGCATGTGAGAGACATAAGTTAATATCTTTCAGCTCACCCAACACTCGTGGGACTTCTGCCTTCAATGCAGGCAGCACTGCATGGCCTGAACCTTGCTCCTGTGGGTACATGCATACGTAATGACATGAAATTTGTAAGACCAAAATGCATATATCCATAATCATGTTGATAATCATACAGTCATAAGTACACACGCCGGTTTATAAATGGATCAGCGCACCCTATAATACACTGAACTTGGTTGCCATGGACGAGACCTGAGGTCACCAAAGGTTTACACATCGATCGTACGCGCACTACGTACGTGCATGATGTACTGTGTATCATGCATAGTTGTGCACAGTTGTCGCACACTCACCCAAAACAGCATGAATGAAGAGACGAAATTATGTCCATAAAACCCTCATGATCTGTTGGATCTGATACCAATTATCTACCCCAGTCAATTCCTTGATCCTATAAGATGTTAATTATCAACTAATTATACCCATATCGAAATTTGTAAAGAAAACAAAAGGAGTAATTTACCGGTTTGGTTCGACCCGACAGTGCGCTTCCTCGTAGATTTTGGAGAAGAGGATGTCTGACAAGGGCGCCCTCTGGGGCACGATATCAACGATATTATTGTAAATAATGTGGATCCCCACAAAAAAGATAATCAACAAAAACAATAACTGTTTCGCAAAATGCGAAAAAAAAGAAACAAAACAAAAACAGAAGCAAAAGAATACGCAAAATTGCGAAAAAGCAAAAAAAAAAAAGAAAACAAAAAGAATACCTTTTTTGCAAATTGCGAAAAACTGTGGACTTGCAACGCGTTTGTATGAAATAGAAGCCAACCAGCGGCCATTACAGAGCTACGCAGGTTGGCTGGCTTGCCATTATACCTATTGACGCCAGAGAGAACAAAGGCAGGCATTGCCGGACAAGCTTTGTATTTGGCTCAGTGAAATGGCCATTAGTGGATTCATAAGCTGATTAAGGGCATTGCAAGTCAAGATTTTTTATATACGTCCGTGAGGGAAACTGATCTTTCCGCGCAATGAAATAACTCTCAGAACACAGTGTACTGTGGCCTGAATAGAACACCACAGTTTTCCGGTTCTTAAGTGTAATGCCATAGTGAAGAATACGTTGCCCTGTACAGAAAATATATTTCGGAAGAAACGAAGGTGAAAAATACACTCCAAAACGGACATCGAAAAATTTTCTTCATTCAAAAAAAAATGGCACAACAGAAAACCAGAGAATAAAACCAACTGCAAGGAAATAAAAGTTGAAAACAAATTTATGCCACCTTTTGTTTAGAATAACTTAAAATTTGTGATGAATTATATCTAAATATTTTCAACTCAAAATATTTTTCTTGGGCAATGTTACCGTTCCAAACAATTGCTAATCCCCACTTTCAACAATGATATGACTGTTTTCTCAAAGTATTCATTTCCAAAGGCTTTATCTACAAATACTCCAAAGAATTACTTTCGATGCCCCTCTGTTCAACAGATGGGCATAAATCCCGGGGTGGGGGTATATAGTCCTACATCCCCCACTTGTTGATCCACAATGGATGGGCTATTGAAAGTTGACAGGCCGCAACGCTGCATTTACATTTGGGATAGTAGACCACCTGATTTTGAATTTTTTTACGTGTTGGTTTATAACTTTGTTAGAAAAGCTGGTGTTTTATTTGGTGCGTTCGATCCCTGTTATGCGCTCAGGCCTAGGTTTACACCTGGGAAGCCGCGACATGCGGAAATCGAATACGGCGATGTATTATTCGGGAAAATTAAGTAAGTCAGAGATTGTTGCAAACTGAAGATCATGTGGTGTAAGCTAGACGAAGCACCCCACGTATGTTTCAGACGGAAATTATTAACTGCGCATGTCCCGTTTTTAGGGCCATTTGGATGCGTAATGAGGACCATGGGAATTCGTGCCAAGCAAACAGCTGCTTCTTTTCATGAAAGTTACGTCTTATTTTCAATTTTTGGGAATAAAAATTCTTGCCCGAAATATTTTCATGGTAAGATAAGGCCTTTTCCTAACGTGTTTTATGAAAATAAAATTGAGAAATAGTACCAGAGTGGTAAAAACTAGTGATTTTTGTGAAAAGCTCTTTTCGTGAGCGGTTAGTTTGTTTTCGTTTTGATGCGATTTTTGAAGGCTCGAAACAAATCATTTGAAGTTTTCCTGAAATCTACAAAAGTAGGCTGTGGTAGAGGAAAGTGTGACGGTTTCAGATTTGCTGACAGTTTTCTACTAGATTTTTTCTCTTCCCGTCTGGATGCGTTTGCACATCGACCTTACTCATCACCGATTCTGTTCATCCCGCATGATCTTGTGAGAGTACGAATTCAGTGATACGGGAACAAAAGACGAACTCAACTTAAACATGAAGTTTATTTTTAAACCGAGGTCTATCTGTCATAAAATTGCAAGGAAAATGTTGAAATTGAAGGTATATATCCCCACTTTTACATGTACTATACACGCATAAACCACATGAACATGTACACCAGCTGCAACGGTCGAGAATTTCCATGTACCTGTTCGTGCACATGTACGCCACGGTAACAAGCCGCAGTGCACATGTACTGTGCATGGTACGTGGCTGGATCGGATTTGTGCGTGTAAAACACGTATAGATCGCCCTGCAAAGAAGTATCAAATATAACTCATGGAAGTCGAACAAAATAATCCAGCTACATAGAACGGATTGTATTGTGTAGTTGAGATTCTGGCCAGTCGTATACAGTGTCTCACTGTTCTGTGAAAAACTATAAAATTGAGAAATTTAGTGGAAAAAAGACCAAGTGATAGAAATAGTTTATCATCTTAGCAACCACTTTGAGGCTAAATTTCATATATTTTCATGATTCTGTAGTGTTTTATTTGGTTTAAGCCTTCTAGAGCACATACAAAGAGTTCCAATGTGAGCGTTTGTTAACTTTGTGCAAACAAAGTCTTCATAACGAGAAGGCAACAGAGGATTGGCAAGTTGCTACGGACATTTCCGTATGGTTCACGAGGGTCCGGTCAAGTAACCGTCCAAGTCGTTAATTTCCACACGTCGAATGGCGGTGAAACATACGTGACCCATGACTCAATTAATTAGTCGACATCTCATCCTTCTTTATTGAGAGATTCTATAGAATATAATCTTTGTCCACGTGGCGAGGCACTGGGCATACTCGCGTTTGAACTTGCCACCTTTGCCTTAAAGGGGATGGGCCATGTAGGGTTAAATTGACGTTATATGATAGTTTTCAACTGTCTTTACAGTAAGTTTTATAAACCCCTCTTTTATGTCATGAAACCAGCAAAAAATTGGCGTTTTCTGTTTGCTTTTCAGTCTCCGCTTGGGCTCTTCGTAAAATTTATCAAAATCGGTAAATGAGGGTAGCAGACAAATCTTGGCAAAGATGTGATTTCTTCTTTTTCAGTACGTAGCAACAGATTCACTGAATCCATGTATAGCCACGGGAGAGGACGGAGTGACACAAAGTTAATTTAAGTTCCTATCCCTGGATCTGATAAACTCAAGAACCTGATCTTCAAAAGAGCTGAGTGACATTGTTGAGACTATTGCATCAGGAAGCCTGTTCTAATCTCTACAAGTTCTAGGTATACAAAGGAATTCCTATGCGCTTCAGTTCTGCTGTGTGGCAAATCAAGTTGAGAACTATTTCCAGTGACTATTCTACGTGGTCTTGTGGAAGCATGTTTGATAAGAGACTTTCGGAATAGCAGATGTACCCATATGCATTTGTTTCATCAAGATCAATCTAGCAGCTTCTCCACGCTGCTTTAGGGTATCCCGCCCAAGGTTTGTGATCATGTCGGTCACACTAGCCTCTCTACTAAAGTTGTTGTTAATGTGAGGAAATGATTAACATATACATTCATTATGATTTTGCTTGATTATTCACAAATTGGACCTCTAGAGGGCGCTCGTCTACTTACCGTTATTTAGGTTAAAGTCAATTGCCAAAAGGTAGCCAGCCGCATATGCAAATTAATCTAAAAATAGAACTGTATCCACGCAGCGGAGGGATATGTCTGCAACGACTTAGATTTTTGGCTGGTAGAGACGAGTTGAAAAGAAAAAGTAGTTGGCTTTGGAAGGGGAGGAAGAAGGTGGTGAGTCTTCGTAAGTGGCAGGCCACGCTGGCTGGTGCAGATTGTTTGCCTCCTCCCCTGCGACTGGAGGAACGATTATCAATCTGATTCCAATCAAATATGACTTACAATAATTCAGCACATCTGAAGCTACTGGACGCCTGCTTCTCTGGAATATTACTCTGGTGTTTCTATTCGTCACAAGTGAGACCGGACCCGGTTATCAAGTCTGACATGTTAACTACGTGCATGTCTAGCTGAGCACCCAGCAGTGCAACCCCGCGCATACTACATTAATAAAGCGTGCCGCACGTCGTTGTACCATCTCCAGCTATTTAGCCTCGAAGGGATCACATACTACTGAAGCGTACTCCAGGTGTGGACGAACAAGTGCAATGAGCAGTTGTTTTTGCCATTTTCGAGCACTGCTCTAAGTTTTTATGCAACATACCTAGGACCTGGTAAGCCTTCTGGACCATATATCCCGTTTATATTTGTGGGAGAGGAAGACTCCCAGATACTGGTGATGATCCACCGTTGCCAGAGAATGATTATCTAGTTTATAACTATTGCAAATCTTCTTCCTTTTGTTTACCATGTGCGTGATGTAGAATTTCTTTGTGGTAAATTGCCTTTGCCATGCAGAGGCCCATTCATGTAGTTTATCATTATCTTCCTGAAATGTGAGGCAGTCAGCCCGATTGTGGCTATTTCTATATAAAATGCTATCGTCAGCAAAAAGACGAATTTCTGACTGAAGATTGTCTGTGATATCGTTGATGTAAAGCAAAAGTAAAAGAGGGCCGAGGACTGTGCCTTGAGGCCCACCGGAGTCCACAGAATCCCAATCAGAACTAGATCCATTGAACACCGTTCTTTGTTTACGCATCTGAAGAAAGTTGGAAATGCACTTCAGTAGCTTTCCACGTATTCCATACGTATGAAGCTTAGCTTTCAGACGCTCATGGGAGACAGTATCAAACGCTTTGGAGAAGTCAAATATGGGTATGTCCACTTGTTTACCAGCATTTACTGCCTCAGCCAAGTCGTTAGTTGTCAAAACTAGTTGGGTGACACAAGAGTGATGCTTCCTGAAACCCTGCTGTTTAGTATTCAAGATATCATGCCCTTCCAGGTGTCTACTAATATGCAAATGAATTATATGTTCAAGAATCTTGCATGATATTGAGGTTAATTTAAAGAAACTGGTCTATAATTTGAAGGAGTAGCCTTATCGCCTTTCTTGTACAGGGTAAAAACATTTGCTAACAACCAGTCTTCTGGCAGTTCGCCAGTATCGAGAGATTGCTGAAATATTTGAGACAAGACTGGCGCCACCTCCTCAGCAGCTTCTTTCAAAGCCTTTGGGCAAATATCACCCGGGTCACTGGCTTTAGTAAACGTTGATTTCTTTGAGCAATTTCAACAGCCCCTCCATTGGAACGGTGATA